TCCAAAGATTAGAAAAAAATATTGGCTGACGTGATGTTTTTCCAGTACCTAAACAGACTTTCCTAAATTTTTTCTCTCTTTATTCAGTCACATTAAGCTTGTGCTGGAGTACTGTTTTGATGCAATTATACTAGTGCAAATTTCCATAATGTAAGCAAGTCCTAAATGATCTAAGTGATGACTAAAGGAGGGAAACAACAATAATCTGTGCAGGTGGAAGAGGAGCTGGTTAGCATGATTGTAGGAGGCATAACTACAAAAAATGGGATTTTATCCTGATAAAAGATATTTGGTATGAATCTCAAGATGAACAGTCTAATGGAAAACAGTGAGATCAATGCAGCTGCAGAATAGCCTCTCACTGGAGGTAATAGAAACTTATCTGAGAGGCATAAGCAGCAAAAAAAAAATCAGTAAAAAATACACTTTCATTAGACTTTGCATTGAAGTCATCTGAAATGACAAGAGAAGCCAGAAATTTTCCATTCACATCTGTTTGTTTATGGGCATTTGGAATTTTGCTTGTTTGTTTTATTTTTGGCTGATAGTGTCTACTTACTATAAAATGAAGGGGTTTTTTTGTTTGTTTGTTTTGGTTTGGCTTTTTTTTTTTTTTTTTTGTTGGTTGGTTTTTTTCTCTTATTAGGGAGCTGAAAGAGAAAAACGCAAAGTTTTCCAGTTTCACACATTCTGCAATAAACCACACAGGTTCAAGAAGCTGTGAAGGAGGACGTGAACATCTTTTTTTTTGGTTTTTTTTTTTGTGTGTTTGAACTTTGGCCTATGTTATTTCCCCTGGCGTTTTGGAGAAGCGGGTTGCCTGGACACTGCATTCGTTTAATGTTTTGTCACTATTCTTAGGAGCACAGCTAAGAAAATTGTTGGCCTTTTTCATCTCCACTCTTCTGTTTCCCTTTTACCTCACTCAGTCTGTCTCACTCACACTCACTTTGTCTCTCTCAGTTTCATGCCAGTGTTCCCAGTCAGTCTCACCCAAATGTCCCTCCACCTTTAGCTTTAAATAAAACTTCAACAGCAGAGTATCTGTCCAAGGTGGAAAACATCTCTTTGCTAATGATCAGTCACTGTAATGAAGCCACAGAAGGGGAATGGACAGGATTTTCACTGCTCTTGTGTGTACTGTCTTTTATTGATCTATCAGCTGGATGGTTCTGGGCTGCTCTGTGTTATGTCCTTAAAAAGAGCTGTGACCTGTGCAGTCTTCTGGGCAGCATTATCCTACCGTGGATAATACTGACTGAGCATGGATGGGGCACCACAACGAGCTCCCAGACCCAGTGCAGAGGGCTGGAATTGAACTGATCACATCTGCTCCCATGGGGAGGAACAGAGGAGAGCTCTTCTCTCTGCCTGTCCCAGCAGTGCTCCCTGGCACTGGCCGTGCAGGGGGCTCACACACAGACCCAGACACTGCAAGTTGTACCTGAAACTTTGTTCACAGCACAGGGTACTGAAGGGCTCCTAGGAATGGCCACCCAAGGGAGCTGTGGATTTCAGGTTGATTTTTTCTTAATTATTTTGTGCATTTTCTATATGAAAGACACACAAAATGCCTCTGAATCTTTGCCTCCTAGTCCTGAGGGGGGATTGGTAATAGAATATATTGATTCTGGCAGAGTTGCCTCAAATGATCCTCCTCTCTTTTGCTTTCTCCCAGCCCACCCTTTCTCTACCCCCTCCCTCCCCTCCCACCCTCCCTTTTGATTTCCCACAACCACCTCTTTAATTAGAAAGAAAAAAGAGAACAGAGGCAGCCATTTTGGAAACATTTTGCCATCTAAATTCTTCAGAGCTTTGCTTGCTGCAGCTTATCTGCCACATCACAGAGACCCTTTCAGTGTTTGACAGCAACTTTAGAGCACTTGCAATGAAAACAAAGGAGTTCAAATCACTGTGGCCTAGACTGCTTGTGCCCCAAAAGGGAGATTTTTACTTTTTTTTTTTTTAAAGAAGTGCATCCAGAATTAAAATTGAGTGAAGATCTTTCTCTCTAAGTTAGGAAATAAGCAGTCTGGTGAATTACATCAAACTGGGTGCAACTTTTTTGTTGTTTTTGTTGTTGTTGGCATCTTCTTATTTTGAAAGGAATTCAATAAAACGAGGTCCTTCCTTAAAAAAAACCCAATTAAAAAGTTTCTTGAAGCACATGAGTAATTGCCCTGATGTCAATATGGTTATACACATGCTTCAAATTGGAATTAAAGACCCTGAAGAGCTGCGGCGAAAGTAAAGATAGATAAAAAACCATACTGGAGTTATTGTGTTTCTATCAGTTAAAGGAAGTTGCAAATCAAACCCCCGTGGGGGTACAGTAACACCATGCCGAGCCAGGAACAACTGACCTATCTCTGAGTCAGGCTTAGCAACTGAGTGCTTAGCAAGTGCTGACAGCTATTGCCCAGCCCTGGTGGGAAACTGACCTGTGAACACCATGAGTAAGAGCACTGTCTGCTACCAAGGTGCTGGTATCGATGTTTCCAAGCACTGGAAAGCAGATGAGCTGAAGGAAGAGCTGGGTTTAAGCCCTTCTGATCTTTTGGGTACCCTTGCTGTCACCAGGTGTTCTCTCCAGTCTAATGCAGTAAGGTACTTCCTGTGCTAAACAAAATCCTTCCCTGGGATATGCTCCTGCAATGTCCTCCTGGGGCCACAAGCACTCAGCAATTCCCTTTGTTAGGTGCAAAAATACATACACAAACCCTTTTTCTCCTTTTCTAAAAGCCAGGTACAGCTCCTGCAAAGGTCTCACCAAGGTGTGAGTATACAAGAGAATAAGGACCTCTGAGACACATTTACTCCATTTTGGCAGGGTCTCTAAAAAACTCTCCTGTAAGCCAAGTATGGAAGTGACATGGTGGTAACAACTGAATGATTTTGCAAAGCATTAAAATCAAAATAAAAGCCAGGAAGGCTAAAGGACTTCCTACTTAGAGGCAATACTTCAAGACTCTTCTGCTTTGTAGAAGCAAAGGAAAGGGGAAAAACTCTCTAAGGGAGACATATGGAATTTTATTACCATTTTACCTACTCAGACCTTTTTATATAATTTGTTGGGGAAAAAAATAACGCAAACAACAAATCTCAGTCCTACTAGTGAGTTATCCTTTTACGGGAAAACAAGCTGAGACCTCAGCATCAGCCTGATCATGCAGAAGAAGAGCACTTCATAATGATCCATGATAATAAGAATACCATAGCCTTAGGCTGATAAATCTTTAACAGCACAGGTGTCCACAGCCCTGGATCTTCTTACACACTTAAGAAACAACCATATCCTCAGTGATCACAGCTATGCTATAATATAAAACTATTTCTTGGTGCCTAACTAGGGACACTTCTGTGTTCCTTGATCCCTTTGCAGGTGCTACTGAAAACCTTCCTGACAAAGACAGTCCTTGCTTTAACAAAATCGCATGCATGCATCTCCCGCTCTCCCCCAGCAAAGCCTGCAGTACAAAGCCAGTGTGATGAAGCAAAAAGCGTTTGGATATGGAAACATATTTTGGTTTCAAGCTTCCAAGAGGCCTTTTCATAAGCAAGGAAAAGAAAAGAGGTATTCGAAGAGGGAAAATGCATTGACAGTTATCTTCATATGGTCACATATAAAGGAGAGTCTAAACTACGGACCTGTTTCTTGCACGTGCAAGATATGTTTATTGGAAGGTTTCTTAATCTCTTTTACGTTGTCTTCAGTGCAGCACCTCTTTCAAAAACATTTTGATCCCATTCCTTAATTCCTTGGGAACAGGGTACTGCTCTGAAGACTGGAAAAATACATTTTTCAAAGATATTAGAGATACCAGTGAAAAATTAAACCACTCCATTTTTCTTTGGGAAGGTTGAAGATAGGGATTTCCTGCCTGTCTTAGATGAGTCAAAAAGGGCCTGAATCAAAATCACGGAATCTTAGACATTACAGCTAAAATGGCATAGAAAGGTCACCTAACCCATCTCTTTATCACTAATTCAGGAATACAAATTGCTTGCTACAGCTTAGGGCCTTCCTAGGTGCTGCGTTTATCTGGTGTGGAACTGTCTTAACAATAGGGAGACTTCCTGTCTCTGCAAACAAAAAAATTAGGGGTCAATATTTCTGTTTCTCAAATAATTATCTAATGGAAGAGTCAGCCAGTGGTGGAAAATAATTCCATTTTTGGAAATATCTCCATTTTTGTTATTGGTGATAGGTTGGGATTCCAACCTGCTGCTTCTGATACTTTTGATGCTGTTACATGTATTATAAGTTCCCTTGGAGCATCAAGCTGGCTTCTTTCCAGCAACACATAGTACATGAGTCTAACAGTGAGACCCTAGGTCCTCGCTTGAGCTAAACTTCCTTGGCTTTGGTTGGGTTTTATCTACACACAGAAATTTAAAACAACTCAGGAAGAAGTGAATATGGATCCCTCTAATTATTTCTTGGGTTTGGGAAGAAATAAATTAGGAGTTATTTGGTTGTTAGGGAGACATATTTACATTAAGTTATTATGCTGGGATGAAATTGGATACAGACTTTACCGCATGAAGAATGAAGAATGCTTTGAAACGTTTGCAACACAGAGCTATTGAGACAGACACTGTCCCAGTCCAGTCACCTGGGATTAAACCGCAGCCCAGTCCCACCTCTCAACTGCAGATTTTCTTCAGGCACTAAAAATGCTCTCTTTGGCTGAGCAAGGAGAATTAGCACAGTTGCTGACTCTCCTCTAGTGACCAGAAACACTTTCTAGAGATGCAGGATGCCGCTGGGGTGAGTAACTTGGCTCATCCCTTGTTAAGCATCCTTCCACCTCTTTTTCTACAGACATACACACACAAACAGTCCCTAGTTTATGTGTGGGTGTGTGTCTGTGAAGAGTGGCTCTAGCCAGAGTGAAAAAGGCAGAAGCTAGAGAGTCACAGAACTGTATATTTCTGAGGGTCTACAACACAGAGAGACGCTACAACTGTAGCTGACACCCCTTTCCCCATGCAGTTACCTGTGCTAGTGCTTTGTATCCAATGGTTCCCACAATTCTTCAGTAGGGACGATTAGCATCCTTTGGCCTCTTCAGCTGCACCTTCAGCCTCTTCATGCCAATCTGGAATCCATTCATGGCCTGGATAGCAGCTTGGGCACTGGCAGGATTGTCAAAACTCACAAAACCTGTCAAAACATGAGGCAAGGCAGGGGGCTTAATGAGCTGAAGGGTGCCAAGGCACGTACATGCAACGACCACTGAGAATGAACATGGGGAGGGGGGTGAGGGCTCTGAGAGGGGGGAGGTGAGCAGGTAGGAGGGTGGGCGGGTGGTCAGGAGAGTGAGGAGAGGATGGTTGCCAATGTGGGACAAAGGATAGGAGGGGTTGTTACAGATCAGTGTCCCAGGACACAGTGCCTGGTCTGAGTGCTAGTTTGAACACAACACTATGTGAAGCACAGGGATCCAAATGTTGGTGCCACTGAACCAGCACACACAAAATTTGGGTCACCTTTGAGCTGGGAGTCAGCAGATGTAACGCATGGTCTCAAGGCACTCTGTCTTACTCTCTTTCCCTCTATCATGATTGGGGTAAGCCTCTAGACCCTTCTTAACTTGCCAGCATAAATTTTCCTTTGCCTTCCAATCTTAACGAGGAGGGGAATCTGATATACCTACTGTTACTTCCTTATTATGACAATATAAGTAAAATGTGAATTTAATAAGTTCTCCATTATGATATTGGCATGAATAGTTTGATTATTGGCCAGCTAAGCAATATAAAGACCTTTAATAACTGGTAATTTCTTCAGACTTTATGTTGACTCTGCAGTTGAGAGAGATGAACACTAGTACCTTCCTAACATGGTTTCCCTAAGTAGTTTCCTACTTTACCAGCAAATCATCCAATCAACCACAGAGCATATTCAGGAGTAGAAACTACAGTGACTGAATGTTGTATCTATGGGCCACTTAAAATGACATTCTTTGTCTCAATGGAAGACTAGTTCTCTGGCAATCTGACAAGTCAAGATAGGTCAGAAACACAGAGGATGCAATGGCTCTAATGAATTTAGCTCGGGAAGGGTTTTTGGTGTGGGTTGATTTTTTTTTTAATGTTAGATCTAAAAAAAAGCCTAATTTGTTCGTTCTGTGTATGACTGTAGCTTGAGTGACCATGGGTCTGAGACATTAGTGAGGCAGGGGGTCATCACGCTGTACAAGAATTGCCTCTGCTATCTTTGCCAGAAACGTCCCTGTGTGCCAACAACATTTCTGAGCACAAACCCTGGGTGAGACTAGCCCGGACCAGCCTGCACTCCAGACAAAGCCATCTGCTTACCCACCCCTGCAAGGCTCTGGCAGCACAAACCAGTCCTAGGAACCTAGTGTCTCTCAACAGACAGCCTGAAATGAAGAGACAGTTTCTGAGCCCCTCAAAAAGCTAATGCTGAGCGTTTGCTGCCAGGTATACACCTGCTCCTGACAACAGCACCAGGCCTGGCTTACAGCCTTGGGCTGCACTGTGAATGCATTCAGCAGCACCTCCTCCCTGGTCCAGTTCCTCCTTGAAAACAAGTCTCACAGGGTGGCTTCCATTTGAAAATGACAGAGCTGCATATGGAAGGGCACCTTCTCACTCCTGGATTCCAGCTGTGCCTTTGGCTAATAATGTAACTTCATGACAGGTCTTAGACTCCAAGTGAGATAGCTCAGGTGTACTGAGTATGGCACATGTGGTTTTACAAGGGAGGCACATGGAATAAACAGATATCCCTCTTTGAGGGGGTACCAGCATGGCAGCTTAGAAGATGTCATAAAAAGTAATGCACAAGCCTCACAGCAATCATCAATTCCTAGGCAGAAAACTGGAGAGTAATGAGCTGGGGTATTATTCAATTGCAGTGGATGTGCTCTTGCAATCACTTAATGTTGCCTGGTAATGTTCCCAGTTTGCATCTGACTAGTTGAATAATCTATTAGTCAACAAAGTCCTATGATTCAATTTCAGTGAAAGAATAAACTAAACACCTCCTGATTTCACCCAGTTCATTCAGACTCCCTTGAGAGTGCTTTAGTTGATCTCCAGCTTTAAATATGTTGTCTGGATACCTCATATCTGAATATAGGATATAGTGAAAGCCATTTCTTTTTAAGATCATGTTTGGATTGCTAATATTCGTGACCAACAGACATCAGCTGCATCAGTAGACTAAAACTGTGCCAAAGAATTTCAGAGAAACGGGAACCTAATAATCTGTACTGCTGAATTTTTTGACTTGCGCTTAACTCCAAAGAATTCCTAGACAAAGCCTGAGTATTAGCACAGAACAGAGGTTGTTTTCAGAAGTTAACTTGGATGTGGCCATGATACTCTAAGTGAGAAAATTTAATAATTTGGGTGTGGGCCATTTTGTGCCAGCTGTTCCCAGTTCTAGGGGAAAGTACCAGGTATGTTTACTGCACTAATATTTATGTAGTGATCAAATACCAAGACCTAGTTGACTGCAGCAGAATAATTGCTTAGATCATGTCTTTAGAGAACCTATCTTGCCTGGGAACTTTAATTTCTACTCTTGTAACTACTCCTGTTTTAACATCCCTCCTACTGACTAGATTGTGCCTACATGTTCATCCACTTGTGAACAGAACACCTTAGGACCCTACAATAATCAGTGGAGATCTAGTCAATGGAGTGTAGAACAATATTTCTCTCTTTTTTCAGGGTACTCTTAGCTGTGCTCAAATGAATCAAGTCCCACTTGGCTGTGTATGAGGGACCAGTGCTGGCTGCAATGAAGGCAGGCACCTTAGCTTAAATCAAGGTACCTCTATTGTAGGATTTACCTGGTTCCATAACTAGGAGTGATATCTCAAGGTAAGATGTTGTTAACTGCCTAGTGCTTGGGTGAGGCACTCCCCAAAGTGATGTTAATCAAACTCCTAATGTATGCAACCCCCTCCAGAAATGTTGCCCAGTATGACAGACTATTTGTTTACTTTTGCCATGACTAGACCTTAGTGGGATGACAAGCCCTGGTGCTGAGATGCTCATATAGTCATACCTCTGCAAGAACCTTGCTGTGAGATAAGCTCACAATGCTACACTAGTTTTTATCATCACTTTGCTTTTGAAATGGAATTCTAACCCATTTCCTCATTCTGTGCAAAGCTGTAAATAATGCCGCATTTTAACAAATGGGACTAATAAGAGAGATCAGAAGTGCATTTGCTCACTATATTTCATTTAGACCAGATAATGAAGCTGGGAGTTGTACTCTGATTTTGGTATTAGTTGCCTGCAGATTTGGACCAGAATTTTTCTCCTTGGTTGTTCTGATATCCACTGATGCAATATAAAAATCTCCTCCTGATAGAGGAGATGAGATGGGAGGCCTGGTGAAAGAGAAGGAGAAGGGCAAATGCTAATAACTGTGCACTTTCCTTGTGAGCACATTCTAGAGACAGAGCTAACTCCTCTAGCTTCTTTTCACTGTTTTAATTTTTAGGGGGCCTGATACGCTCAGAAGTTGCTGGTCCATCCAACTCTCCTGCTTCCTGTTATTTGTGTGGAGTTGTGCTTCATATCGTTGAAGGTATTTAGATTAACTAACTCCAAAGAGAGGATGGCTTATTCTGAGAGTTTAGATGGCACAATTATAAGGGATGGGCAGATAATGGGCATATTCCTTTCTTTTCTCAGGTCAAATACTTACTGGCAGATTTGACTTTTTTTGTTGTTATATTGGCACTATTGCCAGTTAAGCATCTAGGTTTCTTCTCATCTATGTCAGCAGGGTTAATGGTGCTGTGAGAGATTTAAACATGTATGACTGGGAACAGAATGTGTGTACTGGGAGAACAACTTAAATACTTGTTTCCTAAATGGCTTTAATGTTTGAGCCCATGGGCTCAAAGCATAATGGTAGTACTGCACCTGCTATCTGTGTTTTTAACACCACCCCTGCATTGTCATCTACACTCTTGAAGGACAAAAAAGAAAGGGAGAGGTTAAAAAGCTTGAAGCTCTTTCTGTGCATCAGTTAATTAATAATCAGAGAAATATATGTTCTGATCTGAAGATGGTTGGTAGGAGGACAGCATTTTGTGATAAATCTATTTTATGGGGGGGATGTTGGTGTTTTTTCTTTTCTTCCTCGTCCCCCCTAACCCCTCCCCCAGCCCCAGGGATTATCTAAAAAGGCTGTCCTAATAAATGATTTATCAAAGCAGCAAAGGAGGGAGAAAGCTGCTAGGATGGCAACTGAGGGCATCTAAACTTTCTGATTCTGCACAACTTCTTCCAGGAAGGTAGTGATGTTGAAGTGCATGACTTCTCCTGGCCTGATCTTTTCCTGCAGGACTATATAAACTATTAGCAGACAGAAACTGGGGTAGCATCTTCAAATTGTTTTATTTTGTCCCCCTTTCTTCCATAGGAAGTTCTGTTGGTGAAGCTTGCAGAGGGAGCTTTATGCCTTTCTCATGACATCAGCATGATCACCAATGGCTTTATGTAAGCTATTACTTAAGGGCTGTTTTTCTGTTTTAATCATCTGGGATGATAAAGGACAGAATGCACAGTCTACCTCAGAGTACATTTGAAGACTATTTTGGAATTGTAACCTTTTAGTTCACAGTGAGTATTGTCTTTGCATGTCCATGAATTATTTTGTGCACTAAGTGCAGTACTGAACAAGCCCATCCTTAATTGGTTTTTCTGAGTTTTCTGTTTCTCTTTGCATCCAGCAAGAGGAATTAGTGGTTAACGTGCAAAACAGCCTTTTGATGATCTGTTACCAGGCTGGAATAATATATTGTCTCTCTTCAGTTGAAGCTTTCCTCTGGATGGAGCTCAGTGCTTGGTAACTATGCTGAGCATCCCCTAAATCAGGAGTCATGACCACGAATGAGGTGCAGATGCAAGCTTTTAATCCAAACCCCTGAACTCAGGGCAGATGGTCCTACAGCAGGTCCATTCATGTAACTAGGCTGCCTTCAGGCAATGGAAAGGAGAAGAAGGACCTCAAAAACCCAAATGTTTAACTTGTCGTAAAGCTAAGAAGAGTGTTTTAATCTATGTTCCAGATACTTTCTACCATCTCAGAGATGCAGTTTGTGAGAGATTGCAACAGAGACAAGTAGGGATTAGTGCTTACTAGCTTTTTTAGGCCAGATATAGTTT